CACCAGGCTCCCCCATCCCTGGGATTCTCCAGGCAAGAATACTGGAGTGGGTTGCCATTTCCTTCATTCCTCTCCAATGCATGAAAGTGAAAAATGGAAGTGAAGTCGCTCAGTCGTGTCCGACTCTTAGCGACCCCATGGATTGCAGCCTACCAGGCTCCTCCGTCCATGGAATTTTCCAGGCAAGAGTACTGGAGTGGGTTGCCATTGCCTTAAATACTCTCTAAAATGCATCTAAGCAATGCATGGGACAGGGCGCTCAGGGCTGGTGCACTGGGATGACCCTGAGGGATGGGATGGGAAAGGGAGATGGGAGGGAGTGTCAGGATGGGAACACAGGTACACCCTTGGCTGATTCATGTGAATGTATGGCAAAAACCACCCCAATATTGTAAAGTAATTAGCCTCCAATTAAAATAAATTTTTTTAAAAAAGAAAAAAACCCATCTAGGTAAAATGACCCCGAGAGCCCTGCATTGTGTGTGTGCAGGAGTTGCTGAGAACAGAAGCAAGAGAGGGAAGCCCCCTGGTAATGAAGCTTCAGATGCTAGAATTAGGAGTTACACTTTCACCCTGTGGATTTGTCAGGGGAGAGATGGGAGTATCTCAGACTTCTTGTAGGGTTTGTTGGGGATCTTGGAATCTCTCTGTATTTCTTTAAAATTTTATTTATTTATTTGTTTTTGGCTGCGCTGGGACTTCATCGCTGCGTGGGCTTTTCTCTAGTTGTGGCAAGTGGGGGGTACTCTCTAGTTGCAGTGTGCGGGCTTTTTTGCGGTGGCCTCTCTTGCTGTGGAGCATGGGCTCTAGGACGTTCAGGCTCCTGGTTGCAGCTCCTGAGCTCTAGAGCGAGGGCTCAATAGTTGTGCACGGGCTCAGTTGCTCTGCAACATTCAAGATCTTTAGCTGAGGCCTGTGGGATCTAGTTCCCTCACCAGGAACTGAACCCAGGCCCCTTGCATTGGGAGCACGGGGTCTTAGCCACTGGACCACCAGGTAAATCTCTCACACAGTTATTGAAATGCAGGAAGCAGGGGATGGCTCCTTGGCACCTCACCTCCATTTTTTTTCCCAGAAGTGAATTAATTCCCAGGAACCTCTGGAGGTTTGCTTGACCTCCTTCAAGTCATTCTCAAAACTGTGAGGCCGACCCAGATCACCGGCTTCAGTCCTGCATTCTGCATGTCCACCACAGCACTCTGACTCCCTTGCCCTGATCCCCTGTGACTCCATTACTTTCTAACATTATAGATAATTCAGTTATATATTATGTAGCTTGCTTATTATTTGTCTCCCTCCACCCTTCCCCCATCCCTGCATAAAATGTAATTTCTTTAAGGGGCTGACAGCTATATTTCATTGTTAACAGTGTGCATCTTATCTAACAAAACTGGGCAAGTGATGCATATTGTATGAGATCAATATTGTAAGGCCTGCTTTTGTAATCAAAACTGAGAGATTACAGAGCACTGTACCAGCCAGTAACCCTCCTCTTTTTAAAATCATGTATGAACTTGTTTTCATGGACTGGCTATTCAGAATTGGCAGGTTCCCACATTCTGTTCAATTTAATCAATACCGGCTTTTTTGTTTTGTTTTTTTTCTAGTGGGCTTCCCTGGTAGCTCAGCTGGTGAAGAATCTGCCTGCAATGCAGGAGATCTAGGTTCAATCCCTGGGTTGGGAAGATCCCCTAGAGGAGGCCATGCCAACCCACCGCAGTATTCTTGCCTGGAGAATCCCATGGACAGAGGAACCTGGTGGGCTACAGTCCATGGGGTCGCAAAGAGTTGGACATGACTGAGCGGCTAAGCACAGCACACACAGTGATGGATCAGTTTTGTGATACCAATAGAGAGAACTTGATCCAGTATTTGTATCTTTACAATTTTTAAAAATTATTTTCTTTATTTTTTGGCCATGTGGCATGCAGGATCTTAGTTCCCTGATCAGGGATGAAACCTGTGACCCTTGCAGTGGAAGTTTGGCATCTTGACCACTGAACCTGGTATTTGTAGCTTTTAAAAAGCACCTAACATAGTGCTTGGCACGTAGTGGAGTCAAATAAGTCTTTGCTGAGTGAATGGTGGGGCAGCAATACAGGTTGGAAGATAAGCTGAGGTCACTCATGGCAAGACACAACCATGTGCCAGCCCAGCCAGCCCAGTAGGAAAGGGTGTGGAGGCGGGAAGGACCTGGCTTTATTTTAACCTGTTGGAAAGAAAGTGGAAGTTATGCTACGGGAAGGACCCAGAAAGTCCCTCTTTCTTGTGGGACAGGGAAAGACAGAACCTTCATGGGGGTTGGGGGGAGGCTGGGTAGATGAGGATTTAGGGAGAGAAAACCTTGTTCCTTATGAAGAGGCAAATTCGGGAAGCCTACTCCAGTGGCAGCTGTGTCCTCTTGGGTGGGGCAGAGGAGAGGAAGGAAGGGGGCCCCAGGTGGGTGGGACAGAGCAGAGGACATCAAGAGAAGAGTGGGTGGGTGGTCAGAAGACTCAGATATTCCAGGAAGAACAGGGTAGATGGTAAAGACCCTGAATGCTGACTTGTCTACCCCAGGTGCCCTCAGCCCAGGGAACCATAGAGTCTAAGAATGTACTGGAGTGATGGGGTCACAGGCATTGACTGATTGGGGTGTACAGAGGAGATGGGGCTGGAGATCGCCAGAGGCCACCTTAGGACCTTGGGAGGTGGCACACATGAAGGTTAAAAGCCAGGTAGACCAGAATCCCGGCCTCAGATGGACAAGTCATTGCACCTCTGTAAGCATCAGTGTTCTTAACTATGAAATAGAATAATATTATCACTTAGCCTACTCTACTTTGCATTTTTTCATAGCATGTGTCATCTTCTAAGATCCCACATAATTTACCTATTTGTTATATTTCTTTATCGTCTCTTTCCCCACTAGAGCTGGGTTTTCTCTTTTCTGTCCCCTGCATTCTCTCCAGCACCTAGAGCAGGAGCAGCAGGTGCTCAGGGAGTGTGTTGAATGACTGAGTGAGTGTGTTCCTCACTTCCTGTGAGTATTACAACACACCCCAGTTACAACGCCTAGAGAGGTTTCACGTGTTCTGAGCGCTCACTCTGTGCCAGTACTCAGGTGCTGTTTCCAGTACTTTCCCAGCATTAACCTGCTTGATCTTCACAGGCATTGTGCGAGGGGAGACTGTTTTGTATGTCCAGTGCGAGGGGAGACTGTTTTTTATGACACACACGGGATGATATAACCTTCTCAAAAAACCACTGCTGGGGGCATGGAGAACTTGGACCACAGCCCCTGAAGATGCAAAACCATTACCATCTTAAAGCTGAGGAAAATGATGACCCTCTTACCATCTGGTTCCTCTGTAGGGGAACTGACATGCCCAAGGCCGCGGAGCTTGCAGGTAGAGGAACCAGGAATCCAACTCCTGCAGTCTGGCTCCAGAGTCAGTTTGCTCAGCCTCAGGCTTCACTGGAGCAGATCCTTGGTGAATGCTGTGGTGTGAATGGGACCCAAACAGGAGCAGCTATTGGAGGTGAGCTTAGATCGCTTTCCAATGATGCCAAGCTGCCCCTCCGGGCCTATGTAATCACTATGGAGTGTTCTCAACCTTATCTTGAACCACCCACCTTCTCACTTCCACTCTTCTGGAGCCACTTGAATTTCCTTTTGTGCCTTCAACTCAGCACCTTCTCACATTCCGCTCCCTCTGCCCAGACTCACCCCCTTGCTCATCCCTGTATCCTCATCTCTGATGCCCTCTCCTCCAGGAAGCCATCTCTGATCCTCAGGCTGGGTCAGGCACCTACTCTGGGCTCCCCACCCCAGCCCCACTCACTCTGGGTCATCACTGACTTGGGGGCAGGTCTGTCTGCCCTGCTGGACCTTGAGCTTGTGAAGGTAGAATTGGAGATTTCTGCTGTATTATTATATAGTATTAGGTCCAGGAATCAGTCCAGAGGAAGAGTTTGGGGGAACAGCTGTTATTATGAAGGAATGAATGAACTGAAGTAAAAGAAATAGGTTGAAGGTAATTCTCTGACCAGGTCGATTACATTCAATCTTGGTTTTTGAGGCTCCCAACAGCATGTCTTGCCCAAAGGGAATTTTTTTTAAAAAAGAAGAATTAACACTCAGATACAGGGTTGTTTTTTTTTTAATCCTCCAGGTCTCAGTTCAGATGTCCTCTCCTCCAGGAAGTCTTCTCTGCCTCCTCCCCGAAGGCTGAGTCAGGTACCCCTTGGGGCTATCCCCATCCCACCCTTCAGACTCCAGTGCCTTTGTGACCAGGACTCCATATCACAAGTGTCACTTCAGTTCATTTTGTATTTCCAGGCAGCTCATGGTGAACTTCTAGAGAAGAGAATGGCAACCCACTCCAGTATTCTTGCCTGGAAAATCCCACGGACTGAGGAGCCTGGCGGGCTACAGTTCAGGGGGTCACAAAGAGTTGGATGCGACTGAACATATGGTTAACCTGGCACTGTTTTATCAAGCTCTGGATAACCAGGAGCCATCATTATTGATTTTATTGTTGTAGCTGTTGACCATTATAATCTCAGTTCCTGTTCCCTTTAACGCTGACATTCTTAACTTGCCCCTCCCTGGCACTGCTTCTCCCTGCCAGCTCCCTCATCCCCATCCTGGTGGGCCTTTGAATGGGAAGAGGCGTAATTTTCAAGGGGATCCGGGGCCAGAGGGCGGGGCTTCTTCCTCCTTCCGCGCCTTGGGGAAAACCCCAGGGTTCCGGGGACTGCTGGACTTTGGTTTTCTCCGTGCTGGGAGGAGGAGGAAAGTAAAGCCTGAGGGAGAGGGCTGAGGCAGGTGCAGCCAAAGTTCCTCCCGTGCCACCCTCGCTGTCTGTCCCGGGAGCCACTGTCACCGAAGTGCCTGTGAGCCGGCAGCTGGGCAGAGGGGAAAAGAGAGCTGGAGAGGCTGCAGGCGGGTGAGGACGCGGACTGCGTGTGGAAGCCGGGAAGACAGCTTGGCGCTCTGAAGTTAGGTGTCAGGCCCCATGGAGTCCGCTGACCTACGGGGCCGCCGCTGGGCAGGAATCCTGCTCTCAGGTGAGTGTCCTGCTCCCTTCAGGTGGGGGAGAGGAGGGGGTGTGTGTTCATGTGTGCGAAAGAGACCCAAATAGAGACGAGAGAAACAGAGACAGAGACAGGAATAAACTCAAATACAAGAGATTGACAAGAGACTTCCTCAGCAGTCCAGTCCACGCTCCCAACGCCCAACTCCCAACGCAGGGGGCCCAGGTTCTATCCTTGGTCGGAAAACTAGATCCCACATGCCTCAACTAAGACCCAGGGCAGCCAAACAAAATAAGAGAGAGATTGACAAAGGGGGGCAGAGAAACAGACAGAGACATACACACAGAGGAGGAGAGACAGAGGGAATCAGAGCCATAGAACCAGAGAGAGGCAAGAGAGAGTGAAAATTACAATAGAAACTGTACCAGAGGGAAAAACAGAGCAAAGAGGAGACAGGGAGCCTGAGGACAAAGAGCAAAAAAACTCTGCAGGGCTTCTCTGGTGGGGCTCAGTGGTCAAGAATCTGCCTGCCAATGCAGGAGACGCAGGTTTGATCCCTGATCTGGGAAGATCCCACATGCTGTTGAGCAACTAATCCGGTGTGCTGCAACTACTGAAGCCCGCATGCCCTGGAGCCCGTGCTCCACAACAAGAGAGGCCATCATAGTGAGAAGCCCGAGCCCCGAAACTAGACAAAAGCTCAGGCAGCAACGAAGACCCAGCGCAGCCATAAATACATACATATTAAAAATTAATTTTTTTAAAGAAGAAAATTTTTCAAAGATACGTACAGAGAAATAGATTCAGGGGAGTCAGGGTGGGGAGAGACAGAGAACCAGAGCTGGAGTATAACAGACAGGAGTGAGACCGGCAACGAGAAGTCGTGCCAGCCCTGAGAGGCACGCCAGGCTCCTCTGTCCTTCCCTGTCACCTGGAGTTCGCTCAAATTCATGTCCACTGAGTTGGTGATGCCATCTAACCATCTCATCCTCTGCCACCCCTTCTCCTCCTCCCTTCAGTCTTTCCCAGCAGCAGGGTCTTTTCCAATGAGTTGGCTCTTCCCATCAGGTGGCCAAAGTATTGGAGTTTCAGCTTCACCATCAGTCCTTCCAATGAATGAGCCTATGGACTTCACCTCCAATAGCACTGAGGATAGAGAATTTCAGATGGTTTTCCATTGTCAGTTATTACAAGCACAGGAGATAACAATGGCAATAATAGTAATAACTAAGTACTAATAATAGTGACTAACACTTACTGTAAACCGTCATGTCCGATATCAGACCTCACAATAACCTGATGCACTCAGTTCTATGGTTCTCCCTGTTTTGCAGTTGAAGAAACTGAGGCTCACAAAGAGAAAGCCCCTTACCCAGGATAATAGACAAAGTCCATTATCATTGTCAGAGTCCATATTTGCTCCTAAGAGCCCTTGTCTTTAACCCAAATGAGCAGGGGATGGGGCAATGCTTGATCTAAATTGGGGTCATCTGAGGGCTGGAGAAAGGCATGGCTGCCTGCCTTTGTTAATTGGGTGAATGGTTAGGGCAAAGACAGGAGTTTCAAGGTCAGCGGCACATGGCCATAGCTGCTGGGGTTAGGTATCCCCACCTATGCCCACAATCTCTGAGCTTCCATAAAACTGTGTGCAGAATGGCCAAATGGAAAACCGAAAACTCCTGCTATCTCATTCCCTCTTCTCCCCTCTGTGCAGAGGAAATCTCTGCCTGAGGGCAAGCATGCCGAAGAATGAAAGGTTACTTTCTCCCATCAAAGATAACAAAAGAAGTTCCCCTTTACTGGGGGTTGGCTCTGTGCCCAACCCTGGACCAGAGGAATTGCAGTGCTGAGAGCAAAGTCTTTAGGAACTGGCAAGCCAGGTTCAAGTCTAGCTTCTGATGCTTACTATCTGGTCTTGGAAAGTGACTTCACTGATCTGAGTGTTTGTTTACCTCTCACTGGAAGGGAAAGGCATCTTCCACGGAATGAGCATCACTGGAGAGAGTGCAGTGACCCTCAGGGGATCCAGTTAAAATTGGTCAGTGTTCATTACCACCCCCTACAATCCTAGGAGGCAGATGATATTATTCCCATTTATAGCTGGGGAAACTGAGGCTCAGAGACGACAAAACATGCCTCAAGTCACATAGCCAGAAGTAGTGAGTGAAAGTCAAGCCTCTAGGGGTGGAGGGCCCCATTCATGACCTCAGACCTCCCTCCACTCAGGAAGACCACAGCTGGACACCCCCAACACACCTTCCTCCCTGAATGCCTCCTCTTTCCCCCTCCAGCCTCACTTTTGACCGTGTGGAGCTTGGCAGCTGCAGCCCAGATCTCCCGTGATGCCTTCACCCTAAGTGAGAAGGATGTTGTTCCGTCTACATTTGGGGCCCCTTGGTCACCCCAGACTCATGGTAGATTCAGGGCACAGAAAACATTCTGTGTCTCATTCTGGTCTCTATCTCCACCCTCAAGTGCTCATCCGGGTTCCATGCCCAAAGTCCCAACAGGACAAACCTGATTGGCCCAGTCAGGCAATGGCTGGGCCAATCAGTTGTGTTGGAGAGGGGGCGGGGGGTGTGAAGGGGTGGATGTCCTGGCTGGGGCTAGGGAAAATTGGCTAAGAAGTGGTAGAGGGACCTGGTTGTTATCCGCAATACAAGCTTGGCTTCTTTGCAGCCAATAATAATTGACCCACCGTCATGTCCCTGACCCTCTGTTTTATTTGCAACATCTCATTTACTAGGGGAGAGGAGACTTGAGGGTCCCAAGATCACACCTAGAATGAGAACTAGATCCAGCATTGGAGACCAGTCATGGAGCTGAGGGGTGTCTGCATGCAATTCCAACCCCTCCCTGTTTCTCGGGGTCCCTCTGTGACTATATTTTGCTTGGTCTATCCTTCACCTGTGTCTCTGCTTCTGTCTCCCCCTACTCTGTTTCTCCCTCTGTAGAAACTCTGGCCAAGCCCACCATTTCAGTCAGCCAGGGCACAGTCATAGAGCACAGGGAAAATGTGACCTTCTGCTGTGACACTCCGGACATCAACATCACCATCCGCTGGGTCTCCAACCACCAGCCCCTGCCATCCCATGAGCGCATACAGCTGTCCACAGATGGCAAGAACCTCACCATCTTCACTGTCCAGCGGCAGGATGCTGGGGAGTACCAATGTGAAGCTTGGGGTCTGGGACTCCTCCTGGTCAAGAGCAGTGACCCCACCTACTTGACTGTGTATTGTGAGTCCCTTTCCATTCTCCCCAGCCCCTCAGCAACACCCACTTCCTCAGTGATCTCATCCAGTCTCGCAGCTTTACATACCATCCAAATGTGGACTTGTCCATCCCTGAACTCCAGACATATAGCTGTTTGACATCTCTACTTGGATTCTCCTGGGAACGTCCAACGTGATGTGCCTAAAATCGAGCTCCTTAACTTTCAAATGTTTGATCCAAAATATTGCCTAGGTAGTCGTGAGGAAAGAGCAATTGCTGGCATGCTTTATTTTTTTATGTATCATTTTTATTTTTACTGCTCTGGGTGACAGGCAGGCTTCTCTTGTTGTGGAGCACAGGCGCTAGAGCACTTGGGCTCAGTAGTTGCAGTGCAGGCTTAGTTGCCCCACGGCATGTGGGATCTTAGTTCCTCAACCAGGGATCAAACCTGCATCCCCTGCATTGGAAGGCAAATTCGTAACCAGTGGACCACCAGGGAAGTCCCTTGCTGGCATGCTTTAGGTGTGTCTTTCAAACCTGCTTTACCCAGGGATGTATGTGGCATATCCTCACTGTCAGACTCTAACATCTCCTTTGTAATGGTTCCAGAGTTTGAGGGAAGAGAAAAGTTCCTGTTTATCAAATGCCTGGGTCCCCCTAAGAGAGCTCTCTCACTGATGATACTATTGTTGTGCTACAATTGTTCTTGTTCTCCCAGATGGCCCTGACCCGGTCACGATCAAGTGGGAGCCTGGTGTAGCCAACGGGGATGTGGTTGAGGTGATGGAGGGCTCCAATGTGACCTTCTTGGCAGAAACTGAGTCTTACCCACCAGCTTTATATTCTTGGTATTTCGCCAATGAATCCAAGCCCATCCCAAGCTTGTTCCTCAGCACGAGCAATGGTACCATCCATGCCGTGTCCAAAGAACACGAGGGCACCTACAGCTGCTTGGTGTCCAACACTGCCACCCAACTGATCCTCCTGGGCACTGTCAAAGTCTGCGTCCTCGGTGAGTCTCTTTCCCCACTCCTGTCCTTTGTGCCTCTGAGAGTCAGGGCTCCACTGACATCCTCGAGCTGGAGGAGGGCGTGGTGGAGTGGGGCTCTCCCTTGCGGCTGGTGGCAGACTGTGGCTCTGGGCACAGGGAAGGAGCCGGGTCCTTGTTTGGCACATCCTCCACAAGGCTTTGGAGGCTCTCTGTGGGGTGTCTATCACTTTATTCTCTTGAAGTGTGGGAGGCTATTCTCTGTACATACAAACACTAACACAGCACTAACACACCACATACACACATGGACACACACACATAACAATCACACATGCAGGGGACTTCTCTGGTGTTCTGGTGGTTAAGACTGCACTCCCAATGCAGGGGGCCTGGATTTGATCCCCAGTTGGGGAACTAAGATTCCTCATGCCACATGACACGGCCAAAAAAAAAGAAACAGTCACGCATGCATCGCAGATACACACATGTGCACCACAGACACATACAGCTCACATACAACACATACAACTCACACGCAGCACATACACACAGCATACAAAAGCACGTAACACACACACACACACAAGACCCATATAACATGTACCCAACAGACACACACAATACATGAAACACACAGGACATAACATATCACACATACCACACATACACATACCATACACATAAAGCCCACAACATGTACATAAATGTACTCACACATAGGCAGAGCACATGCACAATACTTAGAAAACACAGACACACATATCTCAAATATGTGACAGACAATACCACAGACACACAACATGTTCTCTCATAAAACATGTATACACACAAAACATAATATCCACCCAATAGACATCTACAACACATATCACAGACACTCAACATCCTCATGTACAACACAGAAAACACCTCACATACCACACATTTAACACCCTCAACACATGCAGAACACACACAGTACATAACTGTACTTCACACATTGTAGTGATATACCAAGCATGTAGATATGTACATACATGTACTGTGCTTGTAAATACATGGTACAACATATACACAGAACACATACATTACCACAGACACATAACATATACTTATGTACAGAAGATATACACACACACAACATATACTCACTTGCCCACAAAGTACATGTGTGTGTGTGTGTATGTGTGTGTATGTATGTATATACACACCACCATACCTCACAGTCACAATACATATATACACAACACACACATATAGATAGACACAAAAGGGACTTCTCTGGTGATCCAGTGGTTAAGTCCAGTTGCCAGTGCAGGAGACAAGGGTTCAATCCCCGGTCTGGGAAGATCCCTCGTGCCAGGGAGCTACTGAGTCTGTGTACCACAGGGACTGAGCCCATACGCCCTAGAGCTCGTGTTCCACAGCAGGAGAAGCCACCACAGTGAGAAGCCTGCACACCACACTAGAGAGCAGGTCCCACATAACACAACTAGAGAAAGCCCTCATGCAGTAACAAAAACCCAGCACAGGCAAAAATAAAGACACAGAACACACACTCACACACAAAACTCATCCATGTACCACACGCTCGCCGTACACGCAAAACCTGTAACATATTCACATAATTGTCACACAACACACGCTCATACACAAAAGACTTAGATACCCCACCCACACAGCGCAGTCATATGCAACACACACACACACACACACACACGCCACACACCACATAAACACACATCCCTGGGAAATCCTGTGGGCCCCATATGGGCAGGAGACTGGCAAAGGGTGTCCCTGGACCCCGTCCCGTCTCTCCGTGTGTTTCCAGAAACACTGACCAAGCCTTACGTCATACCCCCAAACCGGACTCTCGTGGAGGACACCAAGTTGGTGGTCCTGACCTGCCAGACCCCCCATGAGGGAGTTGGAGTCCATTGGTTCCTGGGGGACCAGCTCCTCCTGCCCAGCGAGCACCTGATGCCTATAAACAACACCCTGGTCATCCTCGGCCTTCGGCGGAACGATACTGGGCCCTATGCATGTGAGGTCTGGAACTGGGGCAGCCGGGCGCGGAGTGAAGCCCTGAAGTTGAACATCAGCTGTGAGTCGTCCCTAGCCTGAACCTTCTCCTCCTTCCTCCTCTCTCCCTTGCTGAAGTTCTTACATCCAGCCACTCATCCCATAATTATCAAACACCTGCTCTGTGACAGGCATGTCTGAACAGGGGACAAGGCCACCCTCAAGGAGCTTTATGTTCTAGTGGGGGAGACAGACCATACACAGCTGAACAAGGGGAAATCCATGCTGTGTCAGATGGAACTAGAGGCAGTGAGAAAGACAGGCAAGGCTGGGAAGTTGGGGAGGTGTTGCAGTCCTGGCTGGGGTGGTCAGGTGAGGCTTCCTGGAGGAGGTGGTATGTGTGCAGCAGGAGGCAGGGAGAGAGCTGTGCAGGTGACCAAGGGAAGTGAGTCCCAAGGCTGGTGAGGTGGGACTGTGCTTGGCCTGTCAGAGGAATCCCAGGAGGCCAAGATGACTGGAGAGGTAAGTTATAGGCAGAATGGAACAGAAGAAGCTGGGAGGGTGGGGGTAATAGACCACACAGGGTCCCGTGGGCCATGGTGGGGGCACTCGAGCTACAAAAGGCTCTGAGCAGAGGAGAGAGAGGATGAGACTGGGGTTTGCACAGAGTCTTTCTGGCCCTTGTCTAAAGGGTGGAAACAGGGGAGAGGGAGGAGGTGATACAGTTGTTTTTGTCTGATTCCATGGAGAGGCAGACCCCAAAATGGGATTCAGTGGATCATACATGCAAGGATTTTCTTAAGGGAATGCTCTTGTGCAGAAAAGGTAGGGAGGGAGCCTCAAAAGAGTGGGATTGCCCTCAGACTGAGGTACTTGGAGTGAGGGAGGAAGACAGAGTACAGAGTTGGGTGGGAGCATTTGGACCACTGTATAGTCTAAGGAATGTTGTCAAGACTCTACAGGAGCCCAGGTCTCCCAGGAAGGGGTCTGCCTTACTTTCTCCAACACCCTCAGGTACTGACAGGGTGCAGCCCAGGAGAGGCCTGGGAGTGGATTACAGGGTACAGCAGCTGGGCCCTTGGTCAATCCCACTCTTACTGATGGAGGTCTGTGAGGTATCCTCTTGTGGTAGGCACAGTCATCCATCAAGAATTGATGGGGCTGATCAGCTGTAGTGATCAGACCATGAATATATTTTAAATATCAAAGTCACAGGGTTTACTGCTAGTTGACATGAAGCAAGAGAGAAAGGGAGGAGTCAAGAATGACTCCAAGATTTTTTTTTTTTTTGGCTTAAGCTACCATCAGCACTAAAAGAACTATAAACATGTTGGAAGTTAGGGGATACATGTCACAGGACACAGCAACAATTTCTGAAGCCTGGATGTCTTATGAGGCTTCCTTGTTAGAATTCACTTTTGCAAGGGCAGGGTTTTTGTTTTTCATTTTCATTTTGTTTTGTTTTGGACTTTCCCCCTCCATGTTGTGGATTACATTCTGCTTGCTCAGCACCTAAGGGAGGAAAAGGGACCTTTTTCTCCTTCTTCTCTTGCCAAGATTCCTTTCAGCAGCAGTTGGAAGAGCTTTTGACTCCCAGGAATTCCCTCAGTTAGAATTGAGAAGGGGGGAGAAAAGAAAGCAGAACTTCACATGTGGAATTGAATGGGATAAAATAGGTTATCTCGATAACCCTATATGCAAGACAGAAAAAGAGACACAGATGTATAGAACAGACCTTTGGACTCTATGGGAGAAGGCAAGGGTGGGATGATCTGAGAGAACAGCATCGAAACATGTATATTATCAAGTGTGAAACAGATCGCCAGTCCAGGTTGGATGCATGAGACAAGTGCTCGGGGCTGGTGCACTGGGATGACCCAGTGGGATGGGATGGGGAGAGAGGTGGGAGGAGAGATCAGGATGGAGAACACATGTAAATCCATGACTGATTCATGTCAATATATGGCAAAACCACTACAGTATTGTAAAGTAATTAGCCTCCAACTAATAAAAATAAATGGAAAAAAAAGTCATAACTGAAAAAAAATAGGTTATCTCACCGGTGGAGGATGGGAGCATAATATTTGGCTCTGCACGCAGACGGCCCCGATCGAGTGTACTTCACCAGCGGGTCAGAGACCCTGGCGGACAACACCATCAGTGCGGAGCTCAACTCCACCCTGATCCTGCAGTGTTGGGCTGAATCCCAGCCGGATGCTGAGTTTAATTGGACCCATGACAAAACCAGTGTGTGCCAGGGGGAGCAACTGCTCATCGAGGCCCTGACTTGGAAACACCAAGGGAATTACAGCTGCACAGCTTCTAACCCTGCCACACTGCTGACCTGCTCTGCCTCAGTCATGGTCCGCATCATAGGTGAGTCTTTCAGGTAAGCCTTCCCTTTGCGTCCGGGTGACTTTCTCTGATGCTGGCCTTAGCACTCTGATCTCTTATTAGGGACTGGAGTGTGGCACTGGCTGTCCTGATGGGCAGGTTCCTAGTTCCGAGCTGTTGAATTCCGGCCACTAACAGTCAGACTCAGGGACTTCCCTGGAGATCCAGTGGTTAAGACTCTGTGCTTCGACTATGTGTGCTTCCACTGCAGGGGGTGAGGGTTAGATCCCTGGTCAGGGAACTAAGATACTGCATGCTGAAAAGTGACCAAAAAATAGAAAAAAAAAATTTGTGATCTCATTTCATCTTCAGAACGTCCCTATACAGTAGGTACCATTTCCCCCACTTTGCAAATGAGGAAATGAGACTCAGAAAGTGTAGTTACTTTTGTCTGTGTCCACAGGACCCCAGAGAGTCAAAGGTGACTCAGGTTTCCAGTTGCCAAAGCCCTTTGCTGTGACAGCCATATTTGATTTATCATCTAAATCAGTAACATCATCACACCAACACTGACTGATCACTTTCCATGGGTCTAAATACTTCATCCACATTGAACATACCAAACCTTACATGTACTGAACATGAATACATACATGTTTAATCTTTTCAGCAACAATATGGAGTAGGCTTCATATTATCTTTGTTTTTACGGAAGAGCCAAAGGAAGCACAAAGTTAAGTAGCATGGCCAAGGTCACATAGCTGAGATGTGAACTTAGGACATTTGACTCCAGAAATGATTCTATTACTACTATAAACTCCTGCCTCCCAATGGCTGGAAAACAAACGACGGTGGAGATAAAGCCCCAAGATTGGGAATGAGGTTGGGGAGAGGGATGAGGTCCTGCTTCTTTCTTCTTGCACAGGTCACCAGTCATCCCTGTCTGCAGGGGCCATCGCTGGCATTACTGTCGGGATCCTGGCTGTCATTGCCCTGGCCATAGGGCTGGGCTGCTTCCTGCACACTGGAAATACCAACAGGTAAATCTCAGAGTGGGGTGGGGGTGTGGCCTATGGAGGACCGCCTGCCCAGTAGAAGGGTTGCTGACCATGGTGCTGAGTGGTGCCTGTTGGGAACTGAGAGGGTTTGGGACGTTGCCCAAAATGGACATAGGATATGGGCAGAGCCTGTGGAGATGGGCAAGGACTAGAGGCATAGTGAACAAGGGTCTTGGGGTTTCAGGCTCTCAAGGAGAACAACAGAGGATACCGTCTATGAGAACATGACACCCACTTCTGAAGAGGGTCACCCTGAAGAGCTTGGTCGCAGTAAGTGACTCCATAGCTGATACCCAGGGCAGCAGTGAGGTCTGGAGAAGAGGCTGGTGCAAAGAGCCCAGGCTCCTGCTCCCAGCTTCACCCCTGGGTCACTATGACATCATGGGCAAACCCTGTAGTCTTGGATCCTCTGTGTCCCCATCTGGAAAATGGATGAGATCAGGGTCAAGAACTCTGAGGAGTTCTGCCTGTCCAACAGCCACAACACAAATATGACAATGTACTGCCATTCTAGTCTTCCTCACTCTGAGAAAACTTTGTTAATGGATTCTATAAGCAGAGAGAATCAATCATGACACTCCTCCCTGCTAAATTCAAAACAAATCTCACTGCCCATCTCAATATAGTACCTCATGCAGCCTTCTTTGGCCAAAGGCAAAATGAAACATCTTTGCCATGTCTGGTCTAAGATTCTGGTAAGATGGGCTCATGAAGCAGAAGTCCTCTGGGACTGTCCAATTCAGCTCAGTTTTACAGAGAAGAAAACCAAGGCCAGGAAGGATATATGATAAACACAGGCTACAGAGGACCCTGGTACACCTGGGGCTGGGTCTAAGACTTCTGACCTCATCTGTATCATCAAACAGTCTTATCTAACCCAGAACTTGATTTCCAAGACCTTCCCAGGTCAACATCACTGGAGATGTGATGGGGTAGTCCTGGGGATGGAAGAAAGAAGGTTTCTGCTACATCCTTCCTGGGGATAGAAGTGCCCTGCCTGGACAAATCGCCCCTTCCCTCATGCATGCGTGTGTGCTCAGTAGCTTCAGTTGTGTCCGGCTCTTTGCAACCCCACGGACTGTAGCCCACCAGTCTCCTCTATCCATGGGATTTTACCAGCAAGAATATTGGAGTGGGTTGCCATGCCCTCCTCCAGGCGATCTTCCCAATCCAGGGATCAAACCCATGTCTCCTGCATTGCAGGTAGATTCTTTACCTCTGAGACACTGGGGAAGCCCCTTCTTCCCTCATATCTCTCCCTAACTCTAGCCTTGGGCTGGCATTCACTTTCTCTAGACTGGCCCATGCCTGTGTATGCCAATGTACCCGCCACTCAAGGACAGATCCCAGTCAAAAAGGTGGGTAATTCTCCAGAGGCACCCCCTCTACTCCCCTGACTGTCTAGCACTTCCCCAGCCCAGCAGGGCTGTTATGTCTCACCTCTTGGGGTGGGGGTGAAGTTCAGGCATGTTCTCTTAAGGATGCCCAGTGGCAGCTTGGGTCCATACTTTCTCTGGGGATCTCAAGACCATCCATGGCTTTTTCATCTCTTCTCCTTGTTTTCTTTCTCTTTCACATGACAATGCCTAACCTGGAGCCCCCTCTGGGAATCAGAAGAGGTATGACTGCCTCTGAGGCCTGAGCTATTTCCAAGGATTTCCAGGGGTGACCGTTTATCCCAGGCCTCAGGACCTCTTCACTATTTTCTTTTTCCCCAAGATGCTGCCAGTAGACCCTCCAGAGCAATTATATGAGGTAGGTTGGCCTTGCTTGATTTTATTAAAGAAGTTGCAAAGGAATACAATCTGAGAATGTTATATTTGACAAGTATGAGAAATCATCTTGTCTAGATCTTTCATTGAGCATTGTTGGGCCAGGAATGGGAAGAAAGTGGCTCAAGGCCTCACAGGGAGCTGGGCTAGATTCCTTTTAAAAAGTATATTTATTTGTTTATTTATGGCTGTGTCAGGTCTTAGTTGCAGCATGCCAGATGTTCGTTGAGGCCTGTGGGATCTTTGTGGTACTGTGGTGGGTTTTTCTCTAGTTGTGGCTCAAGGGCTCCAGAGTGCATGAGCTCAGTAGTTGTAGTGTGGACTTAGTCTCCCCAAGGCCTGTGGGATCTTAGTTTCCCACCAGGGATCGAATCCATATCCCCCGCATTAGAAGGCGGATTCTTAACCACTGGACGACCAGGGAAGTACCTGGGTCAGAGTCTAGGATTCTAGCTCCTACTGTGCACTGCTTCCACTTCTAGTGCTTGCAGTTGGGTTGCACATAAGCTAATACCGGCCTAGCAAGTGACGGGATGCAAAGGACGTTTTGGATTAGAAGTTGCAGATGTAGCCAGGTGAAAAGGAAGAGTTCTGGTCCTAGGCCTACTTCTGCTTCTGATCCTTTGAGAGAACCTGGTTGGGAATCTCTTTGTCTCTGAATCTCTGAAGAGTGCACATTGGCACTTACCAGATGCTGTGGTTCTAAGACAAACTGCTTGTGGGCCCTAACTGATCTCTTTGTTCACTTGCAGCAGGAATCACCTTCCACCATCCTCGGCGGGTATTCTCATGGCCCCAGGAAGCCATCCTCCAAACTTGCATTGCATCCCTTGGTCCCAACTCTACAAAAAGAAAATGCAGAGTCAAACTATGAGGTATTTTTATGCCACACAGAGCCTTTGGACAGATGGAAAGCTGCCACCAATCTCCCTTTTCCTCCTTGCTAAAGAGTCTGTAGGATAACCTATCAAGAGATTTCCTTTCAAAAATCTTCTCAATCCCTTTGCACCCCCTTTCATCCTATCACTTTCTGGTTCATTTCATTCCATTCCCTTCCTGTCCATCCATTTCACTCCATCCCGTGTTTCCATCACACTTATTTTCACTCTACCCGTTTAGCTTTCTATCCATTTAATTTCATTTATTCTCACTTTATTCCAACTGTTTCCTCTCCAGTCCATTTCTGGTTTTTTTTCATTCCATTCCACTCCCTCTCACTCTATTTATTTCCATAAAATTCCTTTTATTTCCTTTCCATTTCTTCTGTTCCTCTTATTACTTCCCATTCCATTCCTTGTCATCACTTCCCACTACTCAGTGCCATTCCTGTGCATTCCATCCCATTCCATTCTGCTTCATCCATTGTGTCATGTTTTCTTTTTTCTTCTTTCATTCCTTTCCATTCTTTCCCACTTCTCCCTATTACCTTTTATTCCTTTTTATTTTTCCTTTTCAATCCCACCTGTTCATTTCTTTCACATTCCATTTCTGTCTATTTTAATCTTGGCTATCACTTTTCCATTTCCATACCATAACTTTCATTTATTACTCTTATTATTTCACTTTCATTTCATTATTATTTTATTTCATTTCCATTCTTCTCCTTCCTGTTCCATATAATTCCTGTTCTTTCCATCCGCATATTTAATCCACTCATTTCATTCTGTTTCCTACTAGTCCACTCCTCTCTAGTCAGTGTCCTATTTGCATTCATTTCCATTTGGTCAGCTTTCTTTCATTCCACCACATTCCATTTCTTCTCATTCTATTTCTTTTCATTCCCTTCTTTCTTTCCTCTTCCTCGTCCCTCCCCCTGCCATTCAGTTCTGTTTCATTATTTTCTGTTCCCTTTCATTGCATTGTCTTCCATTCTACTTCTACTTAAAAAAAATTATTTTATTGATGTCTACTTGATTTACTTCACTAAGATAATGTAGTGTTATCTTCTGATGTAAGAAAAGTGATTCAGTTATACATATATATATTTGTATATATATACAACCCTCCTGTTTCCTGTTCATTCTTCTGTAATCCATCCCACCCTGTTGTACCACATTCCATTCTGCTTCATTACCTGTCATATGAGCCATTCTCAAAAGATGTGAATGTCTAAATGTCTTTGGGATTTTTAATAAGAAAAACAAACCCCTTGACAGTAGTTCAGATTAATTAAAGTGGGGATTCATTGAGAAAACACTGAGGAATCTCAGGTAACCAATGTCAGAAGTTACTTGTGGGCCTTGTGGGGATTAGAATCAGGAAGTTTTTCTCTCTTATGGCTGCTCATTTTTTTTTTTAAATAAGGAAAAGTATTTATTTGTGCCTTGTACATTTTAATAAGGGTGGTTGCTCATTTTTGCTGATCAGTGAATTTGTTCCATTTTCCTTGGTTCAGATTGAATGCCTATGCAAGCTTTCTGGTCACTGCTCCTCTATAACTTCAAATTATATATGATAACACCCTCTACTACTATCTAAAGGTTTCTGGTTCAGATTCTTCACAGGAGAAGCACAGTTGTTCAGGCAATTGTATGGATTGTGCTGACATTTGTCAGCTCCCTAATTATCTGTGAACTGGTACAAACATAGCCTCTTAGGTACCTCTCTTCATCAGGATCTAGGGGGAAGGAGTCTTATTTGTTCCTTTTTATCAGTGGAGCAAAAGCTCTTCCTGGAAATCTCACCCACTAAACTTCCTCTTATGTCTCCTTGGGTCGGGATGCTGTCATGTGGCCCTTGTTGCAAGGAAGGCTGAGAAAATTAGCTGTTATCCTTCCCACTCTCTCCAGTAGAAGCAGGCAAGAGGGAAGATACAGGAGGAGTGTCAGGTCAGACATCTCAGTGTCTGCTACCTTCTGAAGGGATGAGAAGGAGCACACAACGCAGAGGGTCTGGAGTAGAGTGTTCTGAGTTGAGGAGCATCAATCAAGTGAAAAGGTCCTGAAGTGAACGTATTTTTTATCTATTGATGCATAAAGAATTACCACGAGCTTAGCAGCTTAAAACAACACATATTTATTATCTCACAGTTTCCTGGGTCAGGAGTTCAGGCAATTCTCAGATGGGTCTTCTGCAAGGCTGCAAAAAAGGCGTTGGCCAAGTCTCAGGTCTCATCTGAGGCTCTACTGGGAAGGGATCCACGTCTGAGCTCTTCGGGTTGCTGGAAGCATTCAGTTCCTTGCAGGCTGTCATAAGGAGGGCCTCAGTGTCTGACAGCTGTCAGCTGGGGGCTGCACTCAGTTCAGTGCTTTCCATAGGCAGCTCCCAACGTTGTACCTCACTTCTTCAAAGCCAAGAGAGATGTCACACTGTTATATAACATAATCACACAATGTAAGCAGATACCTCCTGTCACCTTTGCCATATTCAAACGGTTAGATGCAAATCACAGGTCTTGCCCTCAAGGGGAGGTTTGCATCAGGGCATGAAAACCAGGGGACTTCCCTGGTGGCTCAGATGGTAAAGAATCTTCCTGCAATGCAGGAGACCTGGGTTCAAGCCCTGGGTGGGGAAGATCCCCTGGAGAAGGAAATGGCGATCCACTCCAGTCTTCTTGCCTGGGAAATCCCATGGACAGAGGAGCCTGGTGGGCTACAATCCATAGGCTGGCAAAGAATCTGTCACTACTGATGGACTAAGCACAGACACATGCATGAATACCAGGAGGTGAGGATTATGGGGGTCACCTTAGACTCTGTCCTCCACTATGGGGAAGCAAAGGCCATTCCAGGAATGGAAAGGTGTCAGCATGACTGAAGTACAATGAGAAAGGAATTTCTTCGGAATTTTCAAGGTTGAGAAAGGAGAATGCCAGAGAGTTTGAGCCCCTACAGCAAGTAGTCCAGGAAAGCCCAACAGAACTGGAACTTACCTCTTCTCTTTGTGTAATAGGTGCTTGTGAATCCAGAAAACAACATCTACTGCCAAATCAACCGCCCCACCTAATGGAAGCAGAGATCCTTTCTCCAGAAATCCTAAAGAAGTCACACTCAATCATATATTCAATGATGTTTATTACATACACATTATATTTCAGCCATTCTCTTTGTAAACCTTGTGACATTCTGTTTCGATGTCTTTTTCAGGCTCTAGACCCTAGCTCTCACCAAATCTTAAGTTTTGGGCTCATGTTTCTTTAAAAGCAATAGAAACAAGTCAAAAGCCACCTAGAATTAAAGGACCAAGGTCTGATACCCAGAAGCTGGGGACGTCATAGTGTTTACTATGTACATTGTTGATGGACACAGCAGGCGGGGAGAAGTCTGAGCCTGAGTCAGCCAGAGTGGAGCACGGGATGTATCCACGGGTCAGACAAGCAGTGTCTTTTCAAATCATAGTAGAGGATAAGGAACAAGGAGCTATTAAGAGATGACAAGAGAAAACACAGAATGCAGCATGGGAATAAGGCACCTAGGGAGGTGCAGGCATGAGATGCTTTGAATCTCAAGAGGCTCGGGGATGGAGATGTGAGGATGAGATTTGCTAAAGGGAACAAGGATGACTCCCAGGTTTCTGGCCAGAGCAACTGGATGACAGTTTCTTCAGGCCACTTTCTGAAGCAACAATGGGGAAGGAGCAAATCTGGGACAGAGAGAGAAATCAAGAATTTGGTTTGACATGTCAAGGATCAATCAGAGAATCAAGTAGGGAAATGTTCATAGAAGTCTAGATAACTTCTTTTCCAGCTCCGGCCCCGATCACAGCAGTTGTCATGATGTTGATGCCCAAGAAGAACCAGATTGGCATTTATGAACTCCTTTTTAAGGCAGGGGTGATGGTGGCCAAGAAGAATGTCCACATGTCCTAGTACCTGGAGCTGTCAGACAAGAACGTGCCCAATCTGCACGTCACGAAAGCCATGCAGTCTCTCAAATCACGAGGCTATGTGAAAGAACAGTTTGCCTGGAGACACTTCTACTGGCATCTCACCAACAAGGGCATCCTCCAACCTTCTCCCTGAGATTGTGCCTGCCACCCTGTGCCACAGCCATCCTGAGACTGGCCGGCCATGGCCCAAAAGATTGGAGGGAGAGCGACCTGCAAGGCTCACACAAGGGGAAGCTGACAGAAACACCTACAGACGAAGTGCCTTGCCCCCTGGTGCCGACAAGAAAGCTGAGGCTGGGGCTGGGTCAGCAACTGAATTCCAGTTTAGAGGCGGATTTGGTCATGGACATGGTCAGCCACCTCAGTAAAGTTGAAAGAGATTGTTTTGTGTTGAATAAACCTGTAAACAGAAAATTTTTTTTTAATGTCTAGATAGAGCAGAGCTGGAAATATACATTTGGGAGTTGTCAGTGGGATTTGAAGTTATGGGGTTAGATGAGATCTTGTGTCAGGGGTCCCCAGGACCACCCTCAGGCTCAATGATTTGCTAGAAGGATTCATAGGACCTCCAAGTTGTTATGACCATTGTTATGGCTCATGGCAGCAAAAGGACAGAGAGTAAAATCAGCAAAAGGAAAAGGTACAGATGGTGAAGTCTGGAAGAAACTATGTTCCTCAGTTTCCAGGAAGTTGACCAAGAACTAGTCCTTTGAAATAGGCTTTTTTTGGGGGAATAGGTAGGGTTTGAGCAACTCAGACCTGCTGAGTTAACCTTTTCCCCTACAGATCCCAAAGAGAGTGGATGAAGACAGGAAAAGAGTAGGGGCTGACACACGAAGCACTGGTCCCTCCAACATTTATAGTTTGAGGTACAGGATTCAGCGAAGGAAACGGGCTGTCCTTTTATCCTACTGAGAACTTCCTCCTTGCTTCCCCCGAGTATCAGCAGAGCAGATCACACTCTCCCTCCCCCTTATCTTTGTCTTTAAAGCAAATGAATTTATAACTTCTTTGCTCTTCCATAGATATTGAGCCCTCACCCAATTCCTGGACAATAGAACCTCAGTATGAAACTTGGGTCTCAGCCAATCCTCAAGCAACTGAGAGAGAACTCTCTGGGTTAGATGGTCATCTGTGTAGAATGAGTTTCTGTTCCTCAGGAGTAGCTATTCCAAAGTCTGTAATATTCAGGTTAGGTCAGGGATTCAGGTGCTCTTGCAAGTAGGTATTACCATCTTGTTCGTTTTGAAAGAAAAAAATGGTGAAACAGAAGACAAAGTCAGTTTTAAGTTATATAGTACTAGTGCTTTAATGTCTGAATATCTTGAAGTGAAAAAAACAATGAAAACAAAAAAGTGAACAGAAAAAAGGGAAGATGAGCTAACACTCCAAAGACCCCACCGTGATTTTGCCTTATTATACTAAATCTGTAGATCGGTCTACAAGATTTGACCTCGTTACAACACAACCATTGTAATGTGGCATTTGTACGTCTTTTATCTCAGTAGTTTCAAAGGCTTCTATTAATGTCTCTAAATTTATTTTACCAAATTTATTTGTAGGGCTTTTTTTGGCTTCTCTTCTAAATAAATGTGAACCCTTCTCTGTCTTTTTTTAACGTTATTTTATTTACTGGCTGTGCTGGGTCTTCGTTACTCCTTGGGCTTTTCTCTAGTTGTGGTGAGCAGGAACTACTCACTAGTTTTGGTGCATGAGCTTCTCTTGCTGAGCATGGGTTCTAGGGTTCCTGGGCTCTAGCACAGGCTCAATAGATACACTCCATGGTATGTGGGATCTTCCTGGAACAGGGATTGAACCCATGTCTTCTGCATTGGTAGCTGAGCCACCAGGGAAGCTCCTTTCTCTGTCTTGTTTGTAAACTAAGTATTGCTTATGTAGAGGAAAGATCCTGGTATGTAGGCAAGGGGCAAATTGCATAATGTAGAAATTAACAGCATGGATTCCAGAGTCAGACTTTTCTCTTTTACTGTGGTGAAAGTCACATAATTTAAATAAAACATACTATCTTAACAATATTTAACCATACAGTTCAGTGGCACTAAGTACATTGATATTATTGTGAAAATCTCACCATCTTCCAGGTCCTGAATTTTTCACCTTCCTAAACTGAAACTGTCCCCATCCCATGCTTCTACCAATATACTTTGCAGAGTCAGACTTCTTGAACTCAAATACTAACTCGGCCCTTACAATACAACCTGTTACTTAATATTACTGGGCTTCAGTTTTATTTTCTGTAAAAGGGAGTATCTGGTTAAAAATACCGGTAAGGAAGAGATGAAATTACTATCTGTAGATGACCGGCTCACTAGAGAAGCCAGGAAAATCAAATGGAATACTATAAGAATTCAGAACATTTCAGTAGGTTCAGTTCAGTTCAGTCGCTCAGTCGTGTCCGACTCTTTGCAACCCCATGAATCGCAGCACGCCAGGCCTCCCTGTCCACCACCAGCTCCCGGAGTTTACTCAAACTCAGTAGGTTAACCAGATACAAAATAAATACTTAAAAAAAATCAGCCACAATAACCAGCTATAAGAAACTTTGAGGGTAGAGATAACATTTCAAACAACATTAATTTTTTGTTGTTAAAGTCAGATTTACGTGAGGAAAACTACAGTTTCCTGACAGTATTAAAGGAGAAAGCTTAAAAATAAAGCTGTATGAAAATACGTTTCCAACCACATCCCGTTTTCACTGTCACTCCTGAACGTCAAGCCGAGCCCAGGGCCGGCCCTTCCCAAGCCAGCACTTCCCACGCATCGGTCTTTTGGCCTTCATTTCCGATCTGGCTCCTAGTGTCAACGCCGCGCAAAAACTCGGACGCGCACACTCGCACCCTTCAGCCGCTAATTCAATTTTCACTCCTGGTTCTTGTGTGGCCACCTCCCGAGTCCACCCCAGCTAAGAACCAGGAACCACCCCCAATCACCACCCGAGCCGCCGAGGCTTCTGGGAATTGTAGTTCCGGCTCGCAGAGTCCAAACGCACTTCCGGGTTCGGCCAGAAGTGCAGCCATTGTCCCGCGCGCGGACGCTTGCAAGTCTCCGCGCACCTCGGCCCTTTGGCGGTTAAGCCGAGCGGCCTTGTGGATGCCGACTAAAGGAGGGGATAGAACTAGCTTAAGCCTAGCCTTCTGTGTGCAGAGTCGTGGCAGAGAATTGCCTAACCGAGCTCGTCTTGCCGCAGAGCAGTGGTGGGCACTGAGGCTGTGACAGGCCTTGCCTGGCCCTCGAGCTGGTGGACGCTCAGGTTGGTGAGGGGGTGGGGCAACGCCGGGTACCTGGTGCGCGCATGCGCAGGGTCTAGGCGGGTGGCTGGGACCGGGTCTGTGGGTGGGCGATCTGGGACCTGCGTGGGCGGTGCTTCAGCCTCAGATCACAGAAGTTGGTGGTGATGCTGGGGCAACTGCAGATCCCGGTACTGTGCTCTGCGCGCGTCCCGGGTGCGACGCAGGTAGGAGGCTGGGGAGGTTGGTGGAGAAAGCGGTTTGGGTGCAGGTTCAGGGTACAGCTGCATTGTGAACTCACACGGTACTGCTGAGGGATGGGTAATAGAGAGTAATGGGGCAGGGATGGCTTGTGGAGGCGGGGATTTGCCAGGAGCTGTTCGAGTCTCAGACCCAGAAACATTGAGTCGGTACACAGACAACAGGTCCACATTCAGGGTCTAGGAGGGGCTAGCAGGTACTGTGTTTGTCAGGGCGACCCCCAGCCCATGCCGGCCATGTTTTGGACTCAGCGGTGAGGACACCGGGTTGGTGGGGGGGGGTGGGCGCCTGGAGGATTTTGAGTGGTGGGGAGTCTGGGCTGGCAGTCTTCTGGTAGGGGCCCACCTATCCCAGAACGGAGGAGGGAGGAGGTCGTGGGTGTAGCTGAGCTCTGTGAGTATGCTTGGCTTTTTGAACAGGAAGTGAGAGGCAATCGACAGGTGCTGGAGGGTCAGTGGAAGGATAGGATCCTGGGAGGGGCACGGCTAAGTAATGAACTTCACGGAATTAATCAAGTGTTTGACTCTGGGTCATCAAGCCCAGGGGGCTACCTGGTGGCTCAATGCTAAAGAATCCGCCTGCAATGCAGGAGACAAAGGTTCGATCGCTAGGATGGGAAGATGCCCTGGAGAAGTGAATGGCAACCCACTCGAGTATTCTTCCTGGGAAGTCCCATGGACAGAGGAGCCTGTGAGTTTACAGTCCATGGGGTTGCAAGAGTCGGACACAACTTAGCAAGTAAACAACAACATCAAGCCCAGATCCCTGCTGTTTGCCCTAGGAAGAAGTGCTGATTTGGGTGTGCAGATTCAGGTTGGGGGTGGCAGGTGCACACTAGGGGATCCTCAGTGCTGGGTGTTTGTTGGGGGGGCGTGGTCCCAGGATCCGGTAGGACAGAGACTGATTCATGCTGCAGATTTTGGTGATGGGTATAAGGTGGAGCTTGGGCACATGGTAGGCTTCCAGGTAGGTGGTCCAGAGGCCACAGACACTGGAACATCCAGGTTGGAACTGCAAAGTCTTGGCCTGGGAGAGGGACTAGCGACTCTAGGTGCAGGCATAGCTATTCAGGCAGGACTCTATCTGGGCAGGAGCCTCTAGAAACACAGTTGCCTTGGACACTGCATCCCTGAAGCAGAGGCTGATGGTGGGGTATGGCCCACAGTGGACCTACATGAGGATGCTATACACAGGACTTCTCCTCTTGCAGCTCAGGATCTCAGGCCCCTGCCTGTGCCTGGAGGAGAGCATGGAAAAGCAGGATGAGAAGCCCCAGGGGCCCCTGAAGGCCTGCGTGCAGGTAAGTGGAGCTTCCCTTCTCCTGGGAGACCAGAGTTTGCTCCCCCTGTGTCCCACAGTCTGATCCTCTGGGCATGGGAGGCTGTCTGGCTCTCTTTGTCATGTTTTGGGGCTTCTGGTCCCTCCCAGTCAGCAAGCTTCTAACACTTTTTATACATTTTATGGAGCTCCCTACACTTCCTCACCCTTTTAACGCAAATAACTCTTTCTGGAAGGAATTTGGCATCTCGTATCGAAAGCGCTGGGCTTCCTTGGTGGCTCAGTGGTAAAGAATCTACCTGCCAATGTAGGAGATGTGAGTTCAGTCCCTGGGTGGGGAAGATCCCCTGGAGAAGGAAATGGCAACCCACTCCAATATTCTTGCTTAGAGAATCCCATGGACAGAAGAGCCTGGCGGGCTACAGTCCATAGAGTTGCAAAGAGTCAGACACAACTGAGCAACTAAACAACAGCAATGCAAAGCCCTTACGATACTGTTCCTTCTTAGCCAGCAACTCACAGCTTTGCTTGAGGATAAGCAGTTGGAAAGAAATTTCAAGAATATTCAATGCGAGAAGAGAGTTAAATGAGTTATAGTAAAACCTTGAAATGGAATTCACTGTAGCTACTAATAGGCTGAAACGATATTTATGATCTGTGTTAAGTAAATAGCATTTCAAAATGCTTTTTATAAAGGGATGTAATTTGCATGTACATGGAAAATATGTTATAGATTTATCAGTTAACAAAGATTATCTGTAAGTTATATTCCAAGTGACTTTCTGTTTTCATTTAGCTCTATTTTTGTCCTTTTGTGCAGTGCATTTTAAGTCTAGGAAATTAACAGTTTAAAGCATTTTCCTACAGTACATCTTCTTTGAGAACATTTCATTTCTTTAAAATGTTAAATTAGGGGACTTCCTTGGTGGTTCAGTAATTAAGACTTCCCCGTCCAATGCCCAATGCAGAGGGTGTGGGAGCTGATCAGGGAGCTAAGATCCCCCATGCCTCCCAGCCAAAAAAAACCAAAACATAAAATAGAGACAATATGGTGATACTTTCAATAAAGACTTTAAAAATGGCCCACATAAAAAAAAAAAAAACCCTGAAAAAAAATTAGTTAAATTAGAATTTCACCTTTCCCTTCCTGAACAGTTCAGTCCTGAAGCTGTTAGGTGAGGCAGAGCGAGGTAGGTGTGCAGCTTAAGGAGGGCTGCCTGAGGGGCATCACAGCCTGATCAGGGTGAAGAGGGTGTCCATGTGTGGGGATGTCAGTGGCCAAGCAGGGTGTGAGGACGGTGGCATCAGGAGTCCGAGCCCAGGCCAGGAGGGGTAAGTGCCCGTACAGAGGAGGAGGTGCTCGTTTGGGGCGACAGGAACAGAGCTGGGGAGAAGGACTTCCCAAGAGTGGATGCACCACTGAGGGTAGCCCAAGTGCAGTTGGGATGTCCACGTAAGGGCTGGTCCAGCTTGGGGTGTCCGAGCCACAGCAGGGTGAGACAGGCACCTGTGTTTGGGGGTGGGGGTGCATCCTGGGGTGGCATGTCACAGCCTAGCAGGCAGAGAGCATCTACACTTGGAGAGTGCCCCAATGTGGAGTATCAGAGCTCAGGCAGGATGTTAAGGGCATTGACACAGAGTCCACAGCCAAGTGGCACGTGAGAAGAGGCCTGCAGAGTCAGAGCCCAGGAGGATGACAAGGCCTCTCCTTGGCAGAGGCCGGCCTCCTGTGGGGCAGCAGAGTCCTGGTGAGCCAAGGAGTGCCTGTGTGGGAGCCAGGGTGGCAGTGGAAATGGGAGATCAGTTACTTACAGAGGAGTTGATTAGATAAATAAATCTAATAAGAGTCATGGTGAAACAACTTTAGGCCAGTCCTAAGGGAAATCAACCCTGAATATTCATTGGAAGCACTGATGCTGAAGCTGAAGCTCCAATATGTTGGCCACCTGACGTGAAGAGCCATCTCATTGGAAAAGACACTAATGCTGGGAAAGATTGAGGGCAGGAGGAGAACGGGGCAGCAGAGGATGAGATGGGTAGACAGTATCACCAATTCAGTGGCCATGAATTTGAGCAAACCCCAGGAGTCAGTAGAGGACAGAGAAGCCTGGTGTGCTGCAGCCCATGGGGTCACAAAGAGTCAGACAAGACTTAGCAACTGAACAGCAACAACAGAAACCACTGGGCGGCATTTCTGGGGCTCTGAGGAGCTCCAGTTCTTTATATCTCAGCACAGTGAGGCAAAGTGATAGTTAGGAAGTGATTTATTAGAATAGGGCACTTGTGAGGCTTACAAGCAGGCGGACGAGAGGGAGCCATGCCCCTGAAACTTAGTGGGCTGCAGTTTTATAATCAAAGGATAAGTGAGGAGGGAGAGAGGACCACCTTCCTCCTCCTTGAGTAGACGTCGTGCTTCCATCATCAGCTCCTCCTCCTTGTTGAGCAGGGGATTTTACTTGTCCCTCCATGGTCATGGTCACAGCACAGTGGAAATGAACAAAAGAGCTTATGCTCTTTTGCATAAGTGTAAGTAGTTGTGCTAAAAATGGTACATTATCTCAGGTTTTAGTAAATAGAATGTAACTGTTTCCTTATATTTTTGTTTTTAGTGCACACAGAGGAGCTTGTCATAGGAATCATTAACTTACTAAGCTCACCTATCAGGATGTGGGTCTCATACCACCATTGTTTTCTTCTTTGGGGGGCATGTCTCATGCTCCTGCTGCCTGGTTTTGTTGCTAGGCAAGCCTGCTTTCTTGAGTGATCATTAACTTACAGGGGTCTCCTATACTCTTTTCTTTACTTACAATCCCCTAGTGGGATTAACTATTTAATTACCTACTCTGCCCCTTTACTCTGTCCCCTATCAGTGGGAGGCATATGAATGTTTTGGTTTCCCAGTGCATATCAAAGTTAGGTGTACACTATTCTGGAGTCTGTTAAGTGTGCAGTAGCACCGTGTCTAAATAAGCAATGTTTTTGTTGTTGTTTAGTTGCTAAGTTGCATCCAACTGTTTTGCAACCCCATGGACTGTAAACCCGTAGGCTGCTCTGTCCATGGGGTTTCCCAGGCAAGAATACTGGAGTGGGTTGCCATTTCCTTTTTCAGGGGATCTTTCTGACCCAGGGATCGAACCCCGTCTCCTGCATTAGTAGGCAGATTCTTTACCACTGAGCCACCAGGGAAGCCCCATAACAATGTACATACCTTAATTTTAAAATATCTTATTGCTAAAAATTGCTGATCAATGTCTGAGCCTTCAGCAAGTCATAATCTTTTTGCTGATGGAGGGCCTTGCCTCATTGGTGGCTGCTGACCAATCGGGGTGGTGGTTGCTGAAGGTTAGGGTGGCTGTAGCAATTTTTTAAAATAAGATAACAGTGAAATTTACCTTATCAATTGATTTGTTCATTTATGAACAATATCTCTGTAGCCTGCAGTGCTGTCTGGTAGCATTAACCCACAGTATAACTTCTTTCAGAATAGGAGTCAATCCTCTCATGCTTCTGCTGCTTTATCAACTAACTTCAGGTCATACTCCAATTCCTTTTTTTTTTTTAAGGTTTTCTTTTCTTTCTTTCTTTCTTTTGGTTGCACTAAGGTCTTCGTTGCTGTGCACAGGCTTTCTCTAGCTGTGGAGAGTGAAGCTACTCTCTAGTTGTGGTCCGTAGGCTTCTCACCGTGGTAGCTTCTGTCGCCGAGCATGGGTTCTAGGGCCCTCGGGCTTAGTTGTCCCACAGCTTGTAGGATCCTCCCAGACTAGGGATTGACCCATGTCCACTGCGTTGGCAGGCAGATTCTTAATCTCTGGACCATCAAGGAAGTCCAATACTTTGTTGTCATTTCACCAGCATCTTCAGGAATTGATTCCAACTCAGGAAACCCCTTTTCTTTGCCCATCCATAAGAAACTATTCCTCATTCATTAAAGTTTTTTTCCATGAGATTGCAACAATTCAGCCCCATCTTCAGGCTCCACTTCTAACTCTAGTTCTCTTGATATTTTCACTTCATCTACAGCGACTTCCTCCACTGAAGTCTTGAACTCCTCAAAGTCATCCATGAGGGTTAGCGTCAGCTTCATCCAAACTCCTGTTAATATTGGTATTTTGACCTCTTCCCATGAGTTTCCTGGAGGAGGAAATGGCAATCCATTCCAGTATTCTTGCCTGAAAAATCCCATGGACAGAGGAGCCTGGCAGGCCACAGTCCATGGGGTCACAAAGAGTCAGACATGACTAAGTGTGCGTGCATGCACGCACACACACACATACACACACACAAATAAATCTCTTTAATGGCATCTAGACTGATGGATCCTTTCCAGAAGATTTTACATACACACACACATCTCCTTAATGGTTTTAGACTGATGAATCCTTTCCAGAAGATTTTCGATTTTCTTTGCCCAGATCCACCAGCAGAATCACTATCTTTGGCAGCTGTAACCTTTTGAAATGCATTTCTCAAATAATAAGACTTGAGAGTTGAAATGATCCCTCTTCATGGGCTGCAGAATGGCAGTTGTGTGAGCTGGCATCAAAACAACATTAACCTGGTTGTACATCTCCATCAGAGCTCTCGGGTGAGCAGTAATATTTTGAAAAGAATCTTTTCTTCTGAGCAGTAGGTCTCAACAGCAGGCTTAAAATGTTTGGTAAACCATGTTGTAAAGAGAGATGCCATCATCCAGGCTTTGTTTTTTCATTTATAGAGCACAGGCCGAGTGATTTAACATAATTTTTAAGGGCCCTAGGATTTTCAGAGTGGTAAATGAGCACTGGCTTTAAATTAGTCACCAGCTGCATTGGCCCTTAACAAGAAAGTCAGCCTGTCCTCTGAAACGTTGAAGCCAGACATTGATTCTCCTCTTTAGCTAGGAAAGTCCTAGATGGTATCTTATTCCAGTATAAGGCTGTTTTGTCTACATGGAAAATCTGTTGTTGAGTATAGCCACCTTCAATAACTACTTAGCTAGATCTTCTGCATAACTTGCTGCAGCTTCTCCATCAGCACTTGCTTTGACTTTGCACTTTTATGTCACAGGAAACAGCTTCTTTCCTTAAACCTTATGAACCAATGTCTGGTAGCTTCAAACTTTTCTTCTGCAGTGTTCTCACCTCTCTCAGCCTTCACAGAATTTGAGATAGGACATTGCTGTGGATGAGGTTTTGGCTGAAGGGAATGTTGTGGCTGGTTTGGTCGTCTCTCCAGACTACTCACTTTCTCCTCATCAGAAATAAAGCTGTTTCACTGTCTTGTCATCCGTGTGCTCACTGGAGTTAGCACTTTTCATTTCCTTCAAGAGCTTTTCCTCTGCATTCAGAACTTGGCTACCTGTTTGGTGCTAGAGGCCTCGCTTTCTCAGCTTTCACATGCCTTTCATATTAAGCTTAATCCTTTCTAGCTTTTAAATTGAGAGACGTGAAACTCTCCCTTTCACCGGAACACCTAGGGCCCCCGAAGGGCTGTTGATTGGCGTAATTTAATATTGTTGTGTTTCAGAGAAGAAGGAGTCCTGAGGAGAGGGAGAGAGACAGAGGAAGGGTTGCTCAGTGGAGCAGTCAGAATCTACACAACATTTATGGGTTAAATTTGCCCTCTTATATGTGGGCACAATTCATGACATCCCAAGACAATCACAGTTTTGTTGCTGTTGTTTAGTGGCTAAGTCATGTCCATTTGTTTGCGACCCGGTGGACTGTAGCCCGCCAGGCTCCTCTGTCCCTGGGATTTCCCAGGCAAAGATACTGTTGCCATTTCTTTTGCCAGGGGGTCTTCCCGACCCAGGGGCTGAACCCAGGTCTCCTGCATTGCAGAATTTTTTTACAACTGAGCCACCTGGTAAGCCTCAAACAATCACAATAGTAACATCAGAGATCACTGATCACAGATCACCATGACAAATACAGTAATACTTTAAAAGTTTGAAATATTTTGAGAATTAATGACACGTGACACAGACAGGAAGTGGGCAGATGCTGTTGGCAGCATGGAACCAATAGACTTGCTTGATGTGATGTTGCCACAGACCTTCAGTTTGTAAAAGGCAATATCTGTAAAGCACAGTAAAACACAATAAAAAGAGATATGCCTGTTCTTGAAGGGACTGTCAGTTAATGGATTGAGTCATTGTACTCAGGAGTACAGTGGAATGTACTTCAGGAGGCCACAAAGGAATTGCCTTGCTTCAAAGTGATTATTCAAGAGGAAACATTTTTTGCTGATTTTTTTCTGTATTGAATGTAGGAAAACAGATGTCATTAAAAAACGGATATAGTGTTGAAATACAGACTGTGAACCTGCCCCTCAATTCTGCATTTCCAAAATACATCTGCTTTAAATGCTTTTGAGACTGTCTTTCCAGACTTTTCTGTGCTTGTTTATATTCTGTAAAAATTTATTCATAGTCCATATGATGTTCTTAATTTTTTTTTACTCAACAATATGTTACAGACATCTTTCTGTCATTTGTATGCCTCAATCCACACAAATCTATCTTTTCTCCTCTTGGCTGCTGAAGAGCAGTCAGTTACCTGAATGAAGCATAATTTATTTAAATAGGCACTTACTAATGGACACTTAATCCCTCCTCTTATTTTTGCTATGTTAATGTAGCTTTTTAATGAGGTTTATTGTACATATACTTAAATGTACTTTCTTTTTTTCTGGGGCTGTTGGGGAGGGCGGTGAGGGTGGGACTGTGCTGCCTGGCTTGCAGGATCTTTGTTTCCCAACCAGGGAATGAACTCAGGCCACAGCAGTGAAAGCCCCGAGTCGTAACCACTAGACCGCCAGGGAATTCCCTAAGTATATTTTCTATTATTTCCTAAGGAAATACTTTCAAGTAGACTTATTGGATATTACATATTTTTAAACATTACCATTAAAAAACAAACATAAAGGCAAAGAGTATATATAAAAACTGATAAAATCTGGATAAAGTCTGTACCTGAGTTAAAAATGTAGATCTAATATCAGTTTCATGGTTTTGACAGTGTGCTGTGCTTGTATATGATACTATCATTGGGGGAAACTGGGTGAAGGATACACAGAAAGTCTGTTCTATTTTTGTAACTTCTTGTGGGTTTTAAACTATTTCCAAGTAAAATGTTATTTTAAAAAATATATTGCCAATCCAGGAAGGTTGTATCAACTTAAAACTCCACTAAGAGTATATGAATATGAATCTTTTAAATCGTGGGCCACCAGGGCAGGGGTAATCAGCAACAGGCCAAAGAAACAGTCCATGTGTTTGGGATATTGGTTACATACAGGGGTTTGAGCAAAGAAGTAGATATAAATAGAATAGTGGGAGCCAGGGAAGGAAGGTAAAAATATAGAAAGCAGGGAGGCCAGAATAAAATGTGTTGTTAAATTGTAACTGGAAACATTGGTGTGAATTTATGGTCTCTAATGTGCAGAGATAGTTATAGAAATAGAGATGTGATTTTATCTGATTGAAAGAGATGGGCATCTTTTTGTGTATTCACTGGCCGTTTTATTTCTTCATAGTTAAGTTGCCTGGGCGTTTTCCTTTGTCCATTTTTCTGTTGAAGCTACTTTTTTCTTTCTTTTTTAAAAAATATTTATTTATTTGGCTGTGTTGGGTCTTAATTGTAGCATGTGTGATCTAGTTCCCTGACTAGGGATTGAACCTGGGCCCACTGCATGGGGAGCTCAGAGTCTTAGCCACTGGACCACCAGGGAAGTCTCTACCTTTTTCTTCCTGATTTGGAAGAAATTGTAGCAGTATAGATTGTTACTAGTGGTGCTCTTATCAGTGGTATTTTTTGCCAAGCATTTTATGAAGTTAATTTGTTGTTCTTTTCCTTTATCATTCTTCAGTCATGCTGTATTCCATCCTACTTGCTTACAATTCTGTGATCCAGGAATTCAGGCAGGGCCCAGCTGGACAGTTCTTTCCTTCCACATGGTGTCTGGGGTCACTCAGCTCCATTCAGCTGCTAGCTGGGCTCGTCTGGAAGATGCACAGAGATATCAGGCCGTGTCTCATGCCTCATTGCTCCCCTGGGTATCCCATGTCTCTCCCCATGTGGCCTACCTGAGCTTACCGGTGGGAAGGAGCAGAAGTTTGGTCGGTGGATGTGTTAAAACAGGTGGTCTGTTGGATCCTAGCCGACTCACAGTGGGAGTTTTGAGCCCTGATTATTCTTCTTTTTCTCATCTGCTCTGCCTTCTCAGGACTCTCTCCTTCCTCAGGAGATTATCATCAAGGTTGAGGCAGAAGATGCCGGGTCACTGGCCGTCCCAGCCCAGGTGAGTTGGACAGGGCCTCTGTGACTTTCCATTGAGAAATGTGCATGGCTGGCAGGCAGCAGAAGCCACATTGAAGTGAACTGATTAGAAAATGAGGAAATTGAGATGAATGGACACCTTTTACATGAAGTTGGCTATAATGTAAGGAGAGTGATAACTGCATGGAAATTTGAAAGTGAGGTTGTCATTTTCTTTCCCCTAAAGGTTTGAAAGAATTTGGCTTGGTTTAAATGGTTGCAGGAAAGAGTAAGTGAAAAAAAAAGTTCAGGGTCAGGAGAGAGGGAAGATACAACTATAAAGCAGAACTCACAGATGCAGAGAACAAGCTTGTGGTCACCAGTGCTGGAGGTGGGGGGAGCTGAGGGGAAGAATTGGGAGGTATAAAGTATGGAGTGTAAGACAGGCTTGAGGGTAGATTATACAACATGGGCAGTATAGCCAATATTTTGTAATAACTGTAAATGGAAAGTAACCTTTCAAAATTGTTTAAAAATAAAAAATAGCCATTAAAAAACAGTCCTTGATTAGTGTCAGGGGAATTAATTCAGAACATATGTGAATGCATTGGCTCTGTTAGAGGAAGGAAGGGCTCATATAAGAAAAGTGAGGTTGAGGGAGTTATTGGAAGGCTTGCATTTTTCTCTGTGAACCATCAGATGAAATTATCTGGTGAGCATGAGGATGGTAATCAGAATGGAGAGATGAAGAGTGGAGAACGCTTAAAGTAGTAACTTGGATTAGGGGAGACAGGCTGCTCCAGGAGGTACAATGGGGTTGCTGGTCAGTCCCAAAAATTCATTCTGAGATTGTTGTTTGGTCGCTAAGTCATGTCCAACTCTGCAACCCCATGGACATGCCAGGCTTACCTGTCCTTTAGTATCTCCTGGCATTTGCTCAAACTCATGTCCATTGAGTCAGTGATGCTGTCCAGCCATCTCATCCTCTTCCACTCACTTGTCCTCCTGCCCTCAATCTCTCCAGGCATCAGGGTCTTTTCCATTGAGTTGGCTCTTCACATCAAATGGCATTCTGAGATAGTGACCATTAGTAATAATGGAGAGCAGGTTGATATTTAGATGTATTTAGTTACATTCAATGGAAGTCCCACAGCCCACAGGTTTAAGGCAATATGTGAAAGGGAATTTTTGACTATATCAAATAGAAAGATTAAGGTGAATGATCCATAGACTCTCAACTGAATAATTAAGATAGAAAAGATAAAAAGGATACTAAACAGAAAGGAAAGGACTATATACTGGAGAATAGTAGTAGTAGGTGTTTCAATAGAATAGAGACCCCAAACCATCAAAGAAGGAGAAGAGTAAAGGGAACAATTGAGTAAGTAAAGTGGAGAAATCTGATGTTGTAATGAAAGAGTGAGAAGTTCTCTGTATGTGACTTGAGAGGTGGCATACTTTATGGTGGTTTCAAGATCTGGGGTCTCACGCTAAGAGTGAGGGGCTAGAAGTCAGGCTGGCTGTGTGAGTTGATGACTAAGAACATAGTCTGTGATGTTAGGGAAACTTGAAGTTGCGTCCCAGTTACTAACCTTAGGCATATGTGTTACTTTCTCTAACCTTCTAGCTCTTCATCTGAAAAATGGTGCTGCTAATAGTATTTTTTCAGGGACCTTGTAAGAATTAAATGAACAGCAGTTTATGCAGTGGGCTTCCCTGGTGGCTAAAGTGGTAAAGAATCTGCCTGCCAGTGCAGGAGACACAGGTTCCATCCCAGGGTCAGGAAGATTGCCTGGATGCCTGGCAACACCCTCCAGTATTCTTACCTGGGAAATCCCATGGACAGAGAAGTCTGGTGGGCTACAGTCCATGGGGTCAAAAAAGAATTGGACATGACTTAGCGACTAAACAACAAGAACAGATTTATGCAACAGGCTTAACACATTGCCTGACACCACACAGTAAGTGCTTCATTCGAGTCAGTTATAAATGGATGCTATAGACCACCCAAGACAAGACAATGCAAGTTGGTTGAATTAGAGGATAAATCCTAGGTGTTATTAATATAAATCTTCAGTGTATGGAAGGGAGGTGATGTTCAAGAAGTTGGTAGGACAAAGCTCCAAGAAGTGAGTTAAATGGCATGAGTTTCAGGGTTCCTGGGAGGATACACACTCTTCTCCGCCTTTGATGCTGAGACCCCTGGATGGGAGAGCATGACCACCCTGAGCCTGTGAGGTCTGCAGAGGAGGGAGTCCTTGGGGGGAAGTGTAGCTTTCTATTAACTCAGGAATGGGGCATCCCTGACGGGTCAGTGGTAAAGAATCCACCTGCCAATGTAGGAGACACGTGTTCGATCCCTATTCCAGGAAGATCCCACGTGCCACAGAGCAACTAAGCCTGTGCACCACAACTATTGAGCCTGTGCTGTGGAGCCCACATGCCATGACTACTGAATTCTGTGCCATGGCCCTAGAGTCCAAGATCCCATGCTCCACAACAAGAGAAGCCACTGCAATGAGAAGCCCACACACTGCAGCTAGAGAGTAGCCCCCTCGCTGCAACTAGAGAGAAAAGCCCACGCAGCAATGAAGACCTAGCACAGCCAAAAAAAAAAAAAAAAAAAAAGACTACTATACTTATTTTAAAAAAAACACAGGGATGTAGAGAGAATATTTGGTGAAGATGTAGGATTTCGTTATTATAGAAGAAGAATTCCCAGAGACACAATTGAAAGGTTTGGGAAGGAATTTTGAGCAGTGGGGAGCTGGAGACAAGTAGATGAAATATAGAAAAGAAGGGATAGAAGTCCAAAAAAGCCAGTATCCTTGCTTAAGGGACTTTTTTCTAATGGGTATGTGATAGGCCTTTTGAGATTCAGGTGAACAGAGAGGACTTAAATCAGAATTTGAACCAGGATTATTTTGCTGTATTACAAAGTCTATTGATACACTGTTGATTCACTCATTGAAATAAGTTATCAAATATGTAATTAGCCTATACTATACACCAATACTCTAGTAAACACTGGATTTAAATAAATACCTTGTCCCTGCCATCTTGGATTACAGCCTAGTGACCAAGATGACCACTATGCAAATGATAAGAAAGGGTGGTGGGTCTTATGATAGAAATTCCTGGAACTTTGAGAATATAAAACTTGAGGTGGAGGGGGTGGTGGTAATCTAGTCTAGTATTATTTATTTGACATTTGAAGAAGTTTGATATTAAAGGGACCTGCATTAAACACTGAAGGGGCGTGTTAATGAAAAGGAAGCATGGGGCTTCCTTGGTAGCTCAGTGGTAAAGAATCCGCCTGCCAATGCAGGAGACACAGGTTCGCTTTCTCTGGGAAATCCCAGATGTGGGCCTGTGAGCCACAGCTATTGAGCCTGTGCTCTAGAGCCTGTGCCCTGCAACATGACAAGCCACTGCAATGAGAAGCCCAGGCATCACAACTAGGGAGTAGCCCCCACTCAGCACAACTAGAGAAAAGCCCACACAGCAACAAAGACCTAGTGCAACCAAAAAATAAGTAAATAACTTAAAAAAATTTAAAAGGGAAGCATGGATTGGAGGTTGAAAAACAGTACCTGCAGATCCATGTTGAACACAGGGAGCAGTTTTCTGAATCTCATTTTGGGCTCATTATGAAAATCTTTGAGATTTTTAGTGAAAATTGTGAGCTACAGCTTAGAAAAATGCAAGTACAGCAGTATTTTTGCATGGAGTTTCATGGGCTTCAGGGACCTTGTATCCAATTCATGAACCACAGCTTAAGAACACTCCATCTATTTTAAAATGTCTTGGCAAGTGACATTCGACTTCAGTGGCTTTTGCTGCCTTTTGATAAGGAGAGATCACATCCAGCACTTTTTTGGAACAAAATTGCTGCCCAATAGTCTTTTTGTTTTTAAACTCAGTTAAAAATTTTATTGGAGTGTAGCTTGATTTACCACCTACTAGTCCAAAAAGGTGAAGAAGGAAATGGCAACCCACTCCAGTATCCTTGCCTAGAAAATTCCATGGACAAAGGAGCCTGGTGGGCTATAGTCCATGGAGTTGCAAAGAGTCGGACACGACTGAGTGACTAACACACACACACACACACAGTCCTAAAAGGAGGGTTCTTTCCTGCTTACAGGAGGCAGCTCAAGAGAACCCCTTTACATGGCAATAATGACAGGCTCTGTTGTGAGCTCATAGTGTGGGCAAAATAGAACTGTTTTCTGAAGACTAAGAGTTCAGGATAAAGGTCTCTCATTGACTGCCATTTAATTTTTCAGTGTTCTCAAACCTAAGCATCCTGATAATTACCAGCCTTTGTTTTTTGTTCAGTAAGCTCTGTTAATGGCTTTTTATGTATCATTATAATTTAATTCACTCAACAACATAATGAGCTAGTTACAGTTAAGCCTAATACATAGAAGTGGAATAACGTCACCATTAAAAGACACCATTAAATGTATCTAATTTTTTATATTTTAAAAAAAAGATACATTAAAAAAAATTCAGACATATGCTCTTAATAGAGGAAAAAACCCAAGTCTCTTTTCCAAATCCAGTGCTCTTAGCTTTTACATCCTGCCTTTCATTAAGGCCTACATTTCATTCTCTGTATCAACAAACCTGTGTGCCAAATCTGGCCCATCACCTGTTTTTGTAAGTAAAGTTTTATTGTAATATAGCTACAACCATTTGTTGGTATATTTTCTGTGGCTGCTGTCTTGCTATAGCAGCAGAGCTGACTAATTGTAATAGAAGCTGTATGGCTTGCTAAGCCTAAAATACATGCTCTCTGACCTTTGACAGAAAAAATTTTGCTGAACCTGTTCTGTTAGTTTCTTGAGAATTTGGAGGGAATTCCTAAGTTGGAATTCTGTATTCACCAACACAAAAATCAGAATTAGCATTTTCTTTAAGGTCCACAAGAAAGAAAACAGTTTGTCAGTTCTTTCTGATGTTCCTCTTTGGCATTATATACAAACAGGTCCAGCATCCAAAACCCAAAGGGGCTTACCTAGAAGGTACTTGTACCCCTAGAATCTTTTGAATGTTGACTGTCTCAGGACTGTTTCCAGGCCATCAGGTTTTCCTTCTTCCATCTGTCAAACTTTTCCTCTCTGAACACTGGAAGGAAATGATACCCAGCTGAGTAGGAATGTGTGTCCTGTTTTAGGAGGGAGTGAACTTCAAAATAGTGACTGTGGACTTCACTCAGGAAGAAGAAGGCACTTTGAGCTCTGCTCAGAGGACCCTGGACAGAGATGTGATCCTGGAAAACCACAGGGACTCTTGGGGTAAGAGTACAGTCCCTGTTAATGGTATCTGTATATTAAAATAATTTCTCATTTCCACTGATCAGGCTCTAGGGAGTTCAGAGGCCAGAATGATTTTGGCCACACAAAGATTAGTATGGTGAAGATATAGGTTTAGTTTGTAGGGTAGCAAAGGTACAACTTCATGAGTTTGAGCTTATTCCGTTTTCTAGGTTCCTAAGAGCCAAAGACAGGGGCCAGACTCTGCAGTGACTTGCTTTTGTCCCCAGTCCAAATACCCAAAGTTCTATGTCTTTCCTCTCAGCTTTCCAAACTAGATGTAATCTCCTAGCTCGAACAAGAGGATGAGTATAAAAAGAATTTTCCCACATGCATATCCAGGTAAGAAGTAGACATTTAGGAGTCATTACAGGTATAGACTTCCCTGGTGGCTGGGTGGTAAAGAATCAGCCTGCCAGTGCAGGAGATGCAGGTTCAATCCCTGGGTCAGGAAGATCCCCTGGAGAAGGAAATGGCAATCCACTCCAGTATTATTGCCTGGGGAATCCCATGGACAGAGGAGCCTCATGGGTTATAGTCCACTGGGGTTGCAAAGAGTCAGACACTACAGAACGACTAACATTTTCACTTTCTTTCACAGGTATAGAAGATTTGTTTGAAAAATCCCCATAAGGCATGCCACATATTTCTCTTTTCTCCCACTCCAAGAGGACTGTATACATCACCACTTTTTTCCAAATGTACCTTCTATTCCTTGGCCTAATAGCCAGTCAGGCTTCTGTGTATGAGCTAATCTCCATCCTCTCTCACTTGGGAGCAAAGGAATCCATGGGGCCATATTAGCCTCTAAGGAATTTAGGGAACCTGGGATAACAGTGCCCTCATTATTTTTTTCTGGTTCAGAAAGTAGTTTGACTTTGTCTTACTAACACAGACTGTACTAACAAGTTTCATGCCTTCAGAAATACCTAGAAATGTAGACACTAATTTCTATTTCAGTGAACATGTGTCTAGCACTAAAGAGGGTAGAAAGAATCCTCTGTTTTTTTTACTAAGAATTGGAGAATTGTTTTGCAATCCTGTAAGTTCTGCATAGATGATCCTATTTTGGAATATGGAGATATTTTACATCTAAAGTCTTTATTCAGCAACACTAAGATTGAAATAGTTTCATATTAATTCCTTGTTATGCTATCTGACTGTGGTAGTTCTCTGCTTACTGCTCATCTCATCCTTTTGCTTTCTCAATTCATGTTATAGGTCCATAGCTGAAAATAAATCCCCATATAATTCACATACTTTCTTGTCAGCTTTTCCCAGCTCTAACAATTTTTGGCTAGGGTGTTTTATTTTGCTTTCTTCCAGACTCGGCAACTGCACTTGGAAGAAGAGAATCGAGATTGAAGCAGAGCATTTTTGATGACAAATTATCTCCTAGCGTGAAGATAGAAAAGTTGACAAGAGATGATCCTTGGTTATCTTCATGTGAAGAATTTCAGGATTGTAAGGAGCTGTTGGAGAAGCAGCAGGAAAAACGAGAGAGACTTTTGAAGGAAGTGACATTTACTCACAGGAAAACCATTACTCATGAGAGACACTGCAAAAATGATAGCCCTGAGGAGAAGGCTGGTCTGAATTCCAGTCTTCTTTCATCACAGATGATACCCATAAGAAACCATTTTCATAAACATGCTTCACATGTTAAAAGATTACATTATAATTCTATGGTAAACACTCATCAGATGATTACTAATAGTGAGAAACTCTGTGAACGTAATGAATTTGGAAACCTCCCCCAGAGTATTCATTTTTTTCAGTTAACAAGAACTCAAACAGAAGAGAAATCCTATGGATTTAGTGACAGTATTCAACCTTTTAACCATGGTACACCCTTAAACATACACGAGAAAATACATGCACAAGGAAGATCCTTTGATTTTAAGGAATGTGGGCAAGTTTTGAACCATAGCATATCCCATAACGAACAACAGAGAAACTCCATTGGAGAGAGTCAGTATAAATGTCGTAAGAGCTCCCAGAGTTCATCTCTTGCTCAAAACGTGAGAAATCATTCTGAAGAGAAGCCCTTTGAATGTAATCAGTGTGGGAAATCCTTCAATTGGAGCTCTCATCTTGTTGCACATCAGAGAACTCATACAGGGGAGAAACCTTATGAATGTAACGAATGTGGGAAATCATTCAGCCGCAGCTCTCACCTTGTTTCCCATCAAAGAACTCATACTGGAGAGAAACCATATAGATGTAATCAGTGTGGTAAATCCTTTAGCCAGAGCTATGTCCTTGTTGTGCATCAGAGAACTCATACTGGAGAGAAGCCTTATGAGTGCAATCAGTGTGGAAAGTCATTCAGACAGAGCTACAAACTTATTGCACATCAAAGAACTCATACTGGAGAGAAGCCCTATGAATGTAATCAATGTGGGAAATCATTTATCCAGAGCTATAAACTTATTGCCCATCAAAGAATTCATACTGGAGAAAAGCCCTATGAATGCAATCAATGTGGAAAGTCTTTTAGTCAAAGTTACAAACTTGTTGCCCACCAGAGAACTCACACAGGAGAAAAACCCTTTGAATGTAATCAGTGTGGAAAATCCTTCAGCTGGAGCTCTCAACTTGTTGCACACCAAAGAACTCACACTGGAGAGAAACCCTACGAGTGTAATGAGTGTGGGAAATCTTTCAACCGCAGTTCTCACCTTGTTATGCATCAGAGAACTCATACTGGAGAGAAACCCTATGAATGTAGTCAGTGTGGGAAGTCTTTCAGCCAGAGTTATGTCCTTGTTGTACATCAGCGAACTCACACTGGAGAAAAGCCCTATGAGTGCAGTCAGTGTGGAAAATCTTTCAGGCAGAGTTCATGCCTTACTCAACATCAGAGAACTCATACTGGAGAGAAACCCTATGAATGTAATCAGTGTGGAAAAACATTCAGCTTGAGTGCTCGACTTATTGTACATCAAAGAACTCATACTGGAGAGAAACCCTTTACATGTAATCAGTGTGGGAAAGCTTTCATTAATAGTTCTAAACTTATTAGACATCAGGCAACTCATACAGAAGAGAAACCCTATGCATGTAACTAGCTTGGAAATCTTTCAGCAGAGTATATCCCTTCCTCTTTGCCTCCCTCTCTCCCTCACTCTTTCCCTTTCTCCCTTTAGCCCTTCATTCCCTTGTTCCCTCCTTCCATTCCTCCAGGATTACATGTATTGGAAAGAACAAGCATGAAAATAGTGTGTGTGGAAAAAGAGCTTTCTGTTAGCTCTCTGTTCAACTGTGTATCTGAAAACTCTGTCTGGAGAAGAAAGAAAAAGTATGAATCATGTATTTTACTTAGCTATTCCATGTTTTTAAAAAATCAAACTTGACCCTTGTTAAACATCCCATGAGAGTGATAACTCTTGGCACTTTTCCTTGCAGAAAGCACTTCGACCTGAATTTGAGAGAATTATCATTAAATGGGAAATATGCTGGGGAGTGATTGCCAGTGAGGTAGACCTCTTTTCCAATAAAGAATAAATGAGAGGGGACATATATATACCTACGACTGATTTATGTTGATATATGGCAGAAACTAACACAATATTGTAAAGCAATTATCCTACAATTAAAAAAAATATGGTAAATCTAAATAAAGCTGTGGCACCTAAAAAACAAAAAGGAATAAAAGAATGCTAATACTGGTTGGCTTGTTGAAAACATTGGGAAATTGCTGTAGTTATTGCAAACCACTCCAGTATTCTTGCCTGGAGAATTCCATGAACAGAGGAGCCTGGTGGGCTATAGTCCATGGGGTTGCAAAAGAGTCAGACATGACTGAGGTGACTTAGCACATAGCACATTAGAACTTAGACTGGAAAACAGCATTTCAGTGTATCAGTGTGATTTCTCCAGCACTACTTGGTAATTTGTTTCATAAGCACTTTCTCTTACCTGTAAAGATTTTGTTAAAAAAAAAAAATAGGGAAATGGCTATGATGTAAACTGAAAATTGCAGGGCAAGAGTATAGAACATTCATTTCTAGAATCATGAAAAGATATGTTTGTGCTTGGATCAGAATCTAAAGGGATTCTGGGTGTATCTGTTGTAATTTTAGATTTATATTTGATCTTCTTTTGTTTTTTGGACTGTGTGCTTTTTTATAATACTAATGGTATGAGAAATAATTAGTCCAAAAATACCCACCTCCTTTGACCATTTAGGAAAACTGGACAGCCAGATAGCGGAGATCATGCTTCTGAGAGTTCATTTGGATTAGCATGAACAGATCACTCCTTAGGACCTCGATTCCCAGGAATATTCCTTATTGACAATAAAATATTTCAGGCTTCCGTGGTGGCTCAGTGGTGAATAATCGACCCGCTAATGCAGGAGACATGGGTTCCGTCCCTGATCCAGGAAGATCCCACATGCGAAGGAGCAACTAAGCCTGTGTGCCACAACTATCAAGCCTATGCTCTAAAGCTGAGAAACTGCAGCTATTGAGCCACACACCCTAGAACCTGTGCTCAGCAACAAGAGAAGCCACCACAATGAGAAGCCCACACACCACAGCTAGAGAGGAGCCCCCCCTGTCTGCAACTAGAGAAAAGCCCATGTAGCAATGAAGACCCAGCACAGACAAAAATAAAATCAGAACTTAAATGTGGAACTGGAAATTTATGCTGGAGAATTAAATGAGAATTCATGGGTAGTATGGAGAGCAAATGAGGTTTTTTTTTCCTTCTTCTTTTAAACCCATCTATCCAAAGCAGTATAAAAGAGCTCTGTTTTAAAGGGGGTTTTTTGTTTGTTTCCTTTTTTTCTCCTCATATAGTATTATCTTTTTACCCTCCGGGATATGTTCCCTAATTCGAGAATCTTCTGAGTGGGAAGATACTGCCCTGGCTAAGTGCTCACCACCTAAATTAAGTTCACAAGAATGCTTTTAGTGAGGTAATGATAGTAGTTTCTCTCTCTCTCTTTTTTTTTTTTTTTTTGTATTTGGTTCACAAGTCCTTCTGGCCCTTGCCCCTAAATCATGAATTCTAATCCTATGGATTATCATGGACCTGAAAACTCTGATCCTGGAGAGTTACTGAAAAATAAAGAACAGAGAGAGCACAGAATAGAGGTAAATTCCCCGAAGAAACACAAAGCTAAGATGACACCTGATAGGGAGTTGTTGTTTAGCGTCTAACTCTTTTGCAATTTCATGGACTGTAGCCCACCAGGCTCCTCTGTCCATGAGATTTTCCAGGCAAGAATACTGGAGTGGGTTGCCATTTCCTTCTCCAGGGGACCTTCCTGACCCAGGGATCAAACCTTGGTCTCCTGCATTGCAAGCAGAATCTTTGCCACTGAGCCCGCAAGGAAGCCCTGATAGGGGTTCCCCATAGTAAATTCTGTCCCCATGACATGACCCTAAGTGGAACTGTTTTTATGAGGATTAATCCAGAGATGCAGCACACCTGGCAGTGACTGAAGTTCTGGGGGACAGTTGATGACTGGGAAACTGTCTCCCCACCCCAGGAGAATCTTCAGTCAGTCCATGATTGCATAGGTAGAGGAACAGAAGGGGTTCTCCATGTGCTGCAGTTTTGGGGAGGACATAAAATAGTGAAAACTCTAATAATGGGATCTGGTTAGGCTTCTTTTTCTCCAAGTTATAGATAAAGCAAGTGGATGATTTTCACTGGCCATGTTGAATCTTATTTTGAAGGCAAGGAAACAGGATTGTACAAACGGGTATAAAACCAATTGGGCTAAGAAAGCTCTGAAGATTCTAGTTTGGGAAGGGATTTATTGCAAAGTGATCTTTTTAGTAAATGTTTAAAATATTTCATTGGAAATATGAAGTGGACAAAACTGCCAAGAAATTTTGAAGTATTGCTTGTGTGTTTCTTGGCCAGGTTGAATATGTGGGTCATCTGTGTGCACTAAGTCATATTACGTCAGTTCCTAGGTGGTGAGCTATGGTTGCCAAGTGTTTTGAAGTAAGATAGATCCAATAGATAAACAAAAATGTTCATTTCTCTTATTTGCTCATTTATTTCCCTTTGTAGAAAAGGCATTCTGAAAAAAGTAAAAAAATGAAGAGACATTAAAGTGACACCATACAAAAAGTATGTAATTAAACTTCTGAACCTAAAATTTAGGGTTAAAAAAGGGAGCCAGTAACTTGATTTAATGACACACATATGACACATTTAAAATGACATACATCCCTTGCATAAAAATTTTTGTAAAATTCACAAAAATAAAATCATACTTTGTGACTTCCCTGGTGGTACAGTGAATAGGAATCAGCCTGCCAGTGCAGAAGACATGGCTTTGATCCCTGGTCCAGGATGATTCCACATTCCTTGGAGCAACTAAGCCCATACAACACAGCTGCTAGAGCCTGAGCACTCTAGAGCCTGTGCTCCACAATAAGAGAAGCTACAGCAATGGAGAAACCCGTGCACCACAACTGGAGAGTTGCTTCCACTCTGCAACTAGAGAAACCCCACAGCCCACACAGAAACAAAGACCTAGTGCAACAACGACAAAAAAACAAAGATCATACTTGGACATAGAAATATGCATAGATATTTTACAGGCCAAATTTCTGTCATCACACTGCAGTGAAGTTAGAAATAGATGAAGAGTGACCAGATGTGTTTATGTATTTATTACTTTGGCCACAAAGCACAGCTTGTGGGATCTTAGTTCCCTAACTAGGGATTGAACCCTAGCCACAGCAGTGAAAGTGCCAAGTGCTAACCACTAGACTGCCAGAGAATTCCCCAGAATGTTTTTAAATACGTGGATGTTAAGGGATACTCTCCTAGAACCAAATTTTTAAAACATTTTTGTTTTATTGAGATATAATGGCCACAGCTTCCATCATCTCATATAGATACTAAAGTATATATATATATATATATATAATATATATATATATAAAATATATATGTGGATTTTTTTCCTCTTGTGATGAAAACTGTTAGGATTTACTCTCTTAGCAGCTTTCAAGTATACAATATAGCAGTGTTAGCTATCAGTTCAGTTCAGTCGCTCAGTCATGACCGACTCTTTGTGACCCCATGAACTGCAGCATGCCAGGCCTCCCTGTCCATCACCAACTCCCGAAGTTTACCCAAACTCATGTCCATTGAGTCAGTGATGCCATCCAGCCATCTCATCCTCTGTCATCCCCTTCTCCTCCTGCCCCCAATCCCTCCCAGCATCAGGGTCTTTTCCAATGAATCAGCTCTTCACATCAGGTGGCCAAACTATTGGAGTTTCAGCTTCAACATCAGTCCTTCCAATGAACACCCAGGACTGATCTCCTTTAGGATGGATTGGTTGGATCTCCTTGCAGTCCAAGGGACTCTGAAGAGTCTTCTCCAACACCACAGTTCAAAAGCATCAATTCTTTGGCGCTCAGCTTTCTTCACAGTCCAACTCTCACATCCATACATGACCACTGGAAAAACCATAGCCTTGACTAGACGGACCTTTGTTGGCAAAGTGATGTCTCTGCTTTTTAATTTGCTGTCTAGGTTGGTCATAACTTTCTTTCCAAGGAGTAAGCGTCTTTTAATTTCATGGCTGCAGTCACCACCTGCAGCGATTTGGGAGCCCAAAAAAATAAAGTCAGCCACTGTTTCCACTGTTTCCCCATCTATTTGCCACGAAGTGATGGGACCAGATGCCATGATCTTAGTTTTCTGAATGATGAGCTTTAAGCCAGCTTTTTCACTCTCCTCTTTCACTTTCATCAAGAGGCTCTTTAGTTCTTCTTCACTTTCTGCCATAAGAGTGGTGTCATCTGCATATCTGAGGTTATTGATATTTCTCCCAGCAGTCTTGATTCTAGCTTGTGCTTCATCCAGCCCAACGTTTCTCATGGTGTACTCTGCATATAAGTTAAATAAGCAGGGTGACAATATACAGCCTTGATGTACTCCTTTTCCTATTTGGAACCAGTCTGTTGTTCCATGTCCAGTTCTCACTGTTGCTTCCTGACCTGCATACAGATGACCCAGGGCTTCCTATCCTTGCTTCCACTTCTGAGTC